AATTCAAACCCAGACACAACTCATCTTCTGAGTCGAAGTTGTCAGTCAGTATTTCTTTGTCCTCTATGGACTTCTCTGGTAGTTTTCATTGATTGTTTCCTTCTTTGGGGAAAAGAGTTTTCTCCCCACTAGTTGTCTCTCCTTTGTTTTGTTTGGAGGAAAGATTTGATTGGTTCTTGATTCTCTCATATCCTTCGCAACCAAGGAATTGAGCCTTCTTAAGCCTCTAGTGTCTCCTCCATTGAGACTTGAACATTAGATTATTTTCTTTATAGTTTTCAGACTAGTAGGCTTTCTACTTTGAAACCTGAAATTCCTTCATGTATGCAATGGAAAAACCTCTTCCAAATCCGAAGCTCTTCCATTTCTCCTGCCCATATCCCATATTTTGCATTGGCTTCACCCACCTGTCACTTGGAACATTAGTAGGTGGTTTGAATGTTGTCTTTCGACTTACCTGGGGATAAGGACTATCCTACCTTCGAGGGTTCCCTCGCTTGTCGAATACAAATCCACTTCTAGTGTCTCTCCAGGTGCCCCTCTTTCGAGCAACCTGCTCCCTCTCATAGTTCTTTGTAGCCTTTAGATCATACACCGCGCTGCACCTTGGACACATCAAGGCTTCACAATGTTTTTTCTGGTATCAAACGAGAAAATACGGTAGACTCTCTCTTGATTCTGGGTATGCCTTGTTCATCTGGTCCTCTTCAGCACGCTGGTTAATTTCTACCATGTTTACTTTGAGACTAGTACCATCAGTGCTCCTGACTGCTTCAAATTTGACTCTAAGGCCCTTAGTGGCTTTCTCCATCTCAACACTTGGAGAAAAACTCTTAGTAGTTATACTCTCAGCATCTTTGATAATGAAGCCTTTTGTAGCTTCCACCATATTAATATTCGTTGGTTCAGTGTAGTTAGTCTCTGCAATCTGTAGAGGGTCGGCATCGACTTTCATCTTGCTCTTCTCGCCGAACTTTAACCTTTCGTTGGTGATAGCATTCTAAATTAGATCCCTAGAAAAAACATTGTGAGGTCTTATGTCCTAAAAAATTATGATATTTGCAAAACCCTCTTTTATTCTGTTGTTTTAACACAAGAATTTTGGCGCCAGGTGGCACAATCCTCTAGTCATCCTTCACCAATAAATAAAAAATTTCATCACACTTTGTTACATCGAAAGTGTATGTTTTTTTAGAGAATTTATCATTCTTTTCAGGTTCAACATGATTATTTCCATTCGAAGGGGCTAAGACTTTACATGAATAGGGTGGGGTTTGCTTTAATTCAGTCAAGTCCACTTCGCTTTCTTCGAAACCTATAGGGTCACTATAGATTTCTTGTTCGGCTTCTTCGGCTTTGACATATGCCACCATTTATTTTCTATGGTTTTTATTTTCCCTATCCTTTCTAGCCTTCAAACATTCGACTTGTCGGACGCAGTTCGCTAGTTAGGCCATGTCCCTCAGGTATTAGATATCTAATTTCTTTCGAATGGAATAATCCAAACCCCCCGCAACTATCTCAACCAATTCATGTTCAGGCACTTGTGTAAAACATATCGCCTTCAACAAACGGAAGCTGTTTAAGTAATCATCAATTGACTCAGTAAACTTTCTCTTAATAATAGCCAATTCTTTGAGACTAATCTTTGATTGTTCCATGTAAAACATCTCATGAAATAACCTCTCTAAGCGAGTTCAATCCTGGATAGAATTCGCTGGAAGGGTAGTGAACCATGTAAAAACATTTTTGGTTAGCGAACTATGGAAGTATTTTATCCTTAGGTTTTTATTATTTGTTGTCCTCATCCTCGGTAAGGTACTTGACTATATGTTCGATAGTAGATTCACTGGTATTACCATAGAATTTTGTGAACTTTGGACTTTCTAACCCCTAGGTAATTCAATCTGTAAAACATATTCAAACAAAGGGGATATGTAATTTGGCCTTTGAAGGCCTATATTTACCCCCATTTCGAGCCATGATTATTTTGACCATGAGTGCCAGATTATTTTCCCCTGAGTATTCGTCTTGTCGAACCCGTTGAAGGATTTCGTCAGTATCCTGGTTTCGATTGACCATCACAACCCTTTGAGATGGGATTTCCCTTGGTATGGCTTATTTGACCTCAGAATGTTCGACTTTGGGTCCCTGATTAACTTCACCAACATTCTGCACAAATGGTTGTGCTTGGTTGATTGTTAGGTCCTCTTCAACTACTAACCCCTGGTTCTCTCTCATCTAATCTTGATGGGCATGTTGAACTGGTGCTTGAGGAGCGCCAAAAAAATCTACAATCCGTGCCATTTGTGCTGCCAACTGCTGATTCGTTTAGGTATTTTGTTGGTTGATTTGAGTAGCACTTTGGATTAATGGGTTAAAAATTGTACCCATATGTTGGGCCAAAACACCAACCATTTCATGATTTCTATCATCCATCTGTTGTCAAAATGTCATTGTAGAATTCATTGTTAAGTTAGGTAATTAGGTAGTAAATTCTGGGAGTGAGACATTTTGACCCATGTTATTAATTCTTGATCCTGATCTTTGTAGTGGTGAAAATATAAATATTCTTGGGTCAGAAAATGTGGATGCACTATTATTTAGGCTTGCCATCACAGATGTTGGCATGCCATAAATCTGTTTGCAGCCATCCATTGGCATTGTGATTATAGACGCAAAATGACTAAAATTGTTTGTCCCTGGTGGTCTCGTGTTCGCTGGGGAACCCCGCGTATGCACTGGGAATAAAACTGGACCACTGAAAACATTTGTCAAAATTCTTGTTATACTTGCTTGAACATGTGTCGATTTGGTTGTAGATGATACAGTCGTACATTTTCTCATCGAAGGGGGTGGTTATTCTCCATTATTATTGGATGGGTTAACTATCTTCCTAGTGTATTTCCTCTTAGGTATAGGTTCGCTAATTTTGGCTAATTTTCCACTTCTTAATCTCATACAACAATATGAATATACTTAAAACGAAAGTAAATTCGATAGAAACAAAATCTGCGACACAAACTTAGACATTGGTCCTACTGGATGTGCCAATTTATTTACCGTGAAATTTAATAAACAACCGCTAATCTTCCAAAACAAAGATATTTTGTTGGTTACTTGCAAGATCGACTAGATTGATCCTAGGACATGTGTCTAATATTGTTTTTCTAGTGTTTTGGGTATTTGTTTAATGTCGAAAAGATAAATATAACAAAGAAAAAAGTAAAGATAAAGACTGAAAGATAAAGGTAAAAAGGTTTTAAAGTAAAAACTGAAATGTAAAAGAATTCGACTTAAACTTAGACGAAAAGTAAAAGACTTGATTTAAATATAAATGACTTTGAATATAAATTGGTGTTTCAATGCGTACATTCTCAATGACTCTTTTCTCTAACATTTGATACTTCAAGTTTATTTGAGTAATTTGTACAGAAAGTAAACATATGAAATCCTAATACAAATATCCTAATTTATACTAATTTAACCATAACGGTCTTTCTCTACAAGAGTGCCACGCTCCAGTCTTGCATGCTTCTTCGAATCTTCAAGCTTCCACGCGTCCTTCTGAATAAGATCAAACCATTTGAATTAAAAATCCTTCTTTAATTCGAAGTGTCAAAACAACAACATGATGTGTCGAAACATTTCAAATTTGAAACTTGACATTTCCTTAAGTCTCATCCACTTCGCAACAGTAGAACTTTTGTGATTATTTAACATAACTACATTATCTATAGTTTGGTCAGTCGAAGACCATATGAAATATTCTCAGATTTCTCTCAAAAGCAAATGTCCTGCGACACCCTTCAATATTTTAGACCGTCGAAATTTCCAACTAACACTAATATACTTAGATTGTGTGAGGAGCATGAAGTCGGTTGTCAAGTGCTTAACCTCAATATCTAAGAAATACTCAAGTTTGCCTAGTCTTTTTAGTGCAAATGTGGCATGGAGAGAATCGATCAACTTGTGAATCATAATGAATGATGATCATGTGATGAAAATGTCATCAACATAAACTAGTGTATAGATAGTTAGGCTTTGGTGGAAATAAATGAATAAAGAATGATCACACGTGCTATACACTAGTCTATGTTGATGACATTTTCATCACATGGTCATTATCCAATCTAATTAACAAGTTGATTGATTCTAAGCTTGAGTAAATTTCTCATACCATGCTCATGGTGCTTACTTAAGAAATAGATTGATTCTAAGCTTGAGTAAATTTCTCATACCTCTCGTGGTGCTTAGTTTTATTCAATTTTCAAACTAAGGTTGAAACTTATTTTTCAAAGCCAAGTGGTTGAAATATATAAACATCTTCTTGAAGAGAGTCATTGAGGGAGACATTATTAATGTTAATTTGTTGTAGATCCCACTTGTCAGTTAAAGCAAGAGTGGGTATAATTTTGATTGTGGTTGACTTCACAACTGAAGAAAAAATCTCATCATGATACCTTTTGGTACAAATCGAGCTTTGTACTTGCTGTCTGTCTCATCAAGATTCTCCTTCACTTTGCAGACCCATTTGTTGGGTGCAGTGGACTCTTGTGCTTCCAACCAAACCAATTCTAAAATTAAAAAATTGAAGTGCTTATATATATTTCAAACTACTTCAACTTGAATCAAACCATTGGAATATGTCGAACTAAACCTTTAAAAACTGTGCAGCTGAACTGATTGTACCGTCATAAGTATGAAAGAAGGTTCAATATTCAATGCCTATTAAATTGTTAGACGAAAGTATGGAAAGGCGATATGCCAATAACTAGGAATAGTCTCGAATTGCCTTATAGCCTATAGGTCCCAGGAGATATGATTTTTTTTTTAAAAAGGTGAGAAAGTGATGAGAGATAAGAAATGAGAATAAACTAACTCATATTAAATGTCTTTTACATATAGAATACATTTTGACCTCTGTTAACGATAACCTAGATAGATAACGCATCAAAAGGAGAATCCAACTTGAAGAAACTGAAAAATGAATGTTAAAATTACACAACTCCAGAAGGAAGCCGAACAATGAGTTGTCCCCCAACAAGGCTGAAAACAAAGAGAAAAAAGAGTCAGACAGTTTACAAGAGCATATAAAGAGGCATGTTGCATGTTATGAGAATTTGTCATCCACCTCTTGATGTAGTAGTAGCAAAAATCTGCCAGGATGAAGGTTTGGACAATTTCTGATACAAGCACCATAGAAGGCCACAATCCATAACCCAAAGCAGTTAGAAGTTTACCGCGAGTATCTAATACCTGAGTAGGATAAGATCAAAAAACATGATATTCTAAAAGTCGTGTGCTTCGGCTCCTTTAAAAGCCATGAACAACACCATACCATTTTGTGGTAAACTAGTTTGAAGCAGGAATGTGATACAGAAATGTACGAGCAAAGGTTTGTAATAAAGCACGCATAATTCAAGGTATAAATATGAAAATTATTGATGATACTAGATCAGAGGATATTATGATAAAATAGTTTTAAATATTTTCAAAATTGGATGATAAAAACTTCTTAGAAGTTAAAGTCCCAACAAACCTGGAGGACCCAATGTGCACAACTCAAAAACCTTGCAACTCCAAGGGCAAAAACATAGTGTGCTGTGAATGGTTCAACAATCTGAAAGTTGAATTTCAGAATTAACTTCACACTTTTCAAACGGTTAAAAGATAGTAAAGTAAAAGCAACAGACTGAAATATATTTTTAAGAGACCTTGGTGTTTTGCATGGCTCGCAATTGAGGTAGAACTGACACAGCTTCAAGATAAACACAAAAAGCCCAGAAAATCCTGTTAACAGTATGATGCTGGGTTGTTGGATGAACGAGTAAAGACAGTACAGCACAAGGTATCACCTGTATTTTGACACGAGCAAACCAAACTTTAACAAATATATGTTTCTTAATGAAAGTTTCTTCGGCATTAGATTGTTTGATAAATTTGGCACGAGAACTATGACATGCTTAACAGGAAGGCCGGGTAAGCTATGTAGCCAAATGAAAATAAATAAAGAACATGTTATAGCTAATACACACGAGCGATTGCATACCTTAAATAGATGACAGAGGACTTACCACATAGTATATTGCAAGGTTGTCCTTATCATCATTATAACTGGATTTCAGTTTGAAACGTATCATATAAATAACCCAGAGGGTCGTCCCCAATGTTGCAGTATCGAGTAAGGTGTGTATATCGTACTCCATGACAAAACTGCAGTATAGTCTAACAGCTAGAAATATAGCTGTGAGTTCCTGTGATTTAAGCGAGAGTCCTGCAAAGTTTAACGCACAGTGAAAAGACTCGTCACTATTTTAGATAAACAGATAGAAGATTATTTTCTTCTCATTTGTTTTCCTGTTGTACTGGAAAGCTAGAAGCCAGATTATTGCTAAAATCACAATGATGTATGGTATACCACAACAGCAATCATATCAAACTACTTGTTCTCTACTTTCATCTAAAAGGGAAAATGCAAAGAAATTAGCAACTTAAAGTTTGCATTCCAGATGCTGAAAATTAAAAGTACTTCCATATCTCACTTGTAGAAAGTAGACCATAAAAAAACAGGCGATGCTGATTCCATCAACAAATTAGGTTGTGGCATGGTTTTAGACATACATTAGAGGAATGCCAATCTGATAAAAGCTATGAAGTGGTACAAGTATAGTTATTAAGACCAGTGATGATGATCCACGAGATAACTTAACAGAATCCTAACCTGAAATTCTGATGTAAATTTTTAAACAAAAAAAAGGAGTGTCATTGGAGGAAGGGATCTCAATTTGGAAGTTAAGATTGAAAAAGATAGCAAGGGAAACTGATAGAATCCAACATTTAAGGCGATGAAATGAATTTTATTGACTGGAAATGGTGAGCCTCAGGCTCCTACAATGGCGGAAAATAGGATGTGCAATGCATAAACCAGAGTTCTATGACTTCCTAAACCAGAGAGTAACTCTCCTAACGAATTTTCTAACAATATTTCTTAATGAATCTCAACTTCCATTCCCTCTCTCTCCTAAAATCAAAGAATATCCTAACTAACTCTTCTTTTACTTCTTCTACAACCTTCTAGAATATGCCCAAGTGTTTAGGTGTCCTATCAGAATAGTACCACACATATCATTTCCTGGGTTAGCTTGTAAATGAAGAAAGAAATTCTTAATGCATGCAAACACTTCGCAACCACAAAAAGGTTAGCATGGAAGTGAACAAACAATCAAGAGTAAACAAGGCTACAAAGCCCAAAGATTCAAAGAAAAAAAAACACAGCTACAAAGCCCAAACATTCAAAGATAAAAACACGGCTACAAAGCCCAAACATTCAAAGATAAAAACATGGCTACAAAGCCCAAACATTCAAAGATAAAAAAACACGGCGTGGATCAACCCCTTTGTTGATTTTGTTTTATTTCCTCAATAACATACATATACAAGAAAAACCAACCGTAATTGATTACATAGTATGCTATGACAACACAAAATTGGCTGGGCCTGGATACCTAGGATAGGAGACAGATTGGATTACACATATGTTATGACACAACAACTAATGGGGTCTCCAAATGAGTGGAGACCACATAGACCTAAAGTCAGAGAGTTTGGAAGCCAAAACCAAAAGTAACACCACCAACGCTGCTAAGCCCCAAGGCGACGATCCTCCTTTTTCTGTTTGCCCACGTGAGCGTCGACCAAAGAACATCACCGGAAGCAAAAACCGTGGCCCATATCTCGAGATGAAGTACGAAACAAAAATCAACAAGAGTGGCAAAATCATAAGGAACAAGTGGAAACTGATGTTGGCTTTATGCACCGTTGACTTGAAGTTTATATAAGAAGGAACAAACAGCAAAAACATCACAATCCCAACTATGCATACTAGTTGCAAAGGAGGTGACTTCAAAGGCGACGCCATGTTTTCCCTCTAATGTCCACACACTCTCTACTTCAACCTTGTTAATTCTAAGATATATATAACACACGAGCAATCCTACACCACAAATTTAATGAAATTCAAACAGAATTTATGTGACACCATGATTTATGTTTGCTTTAGCATAAAGTGTTGAAATTTAAGGCGGGTGCATGAGGTGCAGTTATTCCATCTCCACAAAAAACTTTGAACTTTTTGGCCCATGATACCAAAGAAGACACTTAGCAGAATATGTTCATAGTTAGCTTTCACACTAAGCTTTGTATTGGTATTTTTTTTATAATTATATTATTCCATCCAGTTATGTTATTCTTTTCGTACTGTGCTGGAAAACAAGAAGCCAAACTATTGCTAAAATCACAATCACATATAAACTACACCCTAAAAACCAAACCACATAAAAAACAACAACAAAAAATCAAAAAAATCTGCAATCATAGAAACTATACCATAAAAAACTAGAAAAATTAGGTACTGGCATAGTTTTTGAATACCACAAGATTCATCTTAATTTGCAAAAAAAAAAATCTTGATTAATACTACTATATTTTTATTCTCAGTTTAAAAACTCTAGATTACCCTAATTGAATACTACATAAACATAATTAGAATAAATAAAAATGTTAATGTATTAAAAAATGTTGATACCGATACAGTTATTCACTTTTTTTATATGACAATTGAACAAATCGGGGGTTAATTCACAGCGCACGATCTCAAAAGTTTAAGGAATAGAAAATTGAAATTGGAAACGCACCGGCGCATGTTTTTTCCTGAGCGAGTTTATAAATGAGGAGGCAAATTCCTAATGCATGCACAAGCTCAGCCGCTACGAAGAGGCTGTCGTGGTCGTGAACAACCATGCGAAGAAAAAGAAGAGCTATGAGTCCGGAGAGAATGGCCAGAAATAGCTTCATTTTGGGCGGTTGCCGGCGGAGCCATTTAGTGAAGGCGTAGATCGGTCGCTTGGTTACCTTCATTGTTGTGTTTGTGAGTTTTGTGATGGTGTTTGTTCTGTGAAATTGGTTGATAATAATGAGAAGAAGAAGATAGAGATTGATGACACGTGAGAAAATGGGTGTGTGACGAGTGGGTGGGTTGCTCAACTAACCTCTGTTTTTCTGCCACTGTTATGTTTTTTATTTGGTCCGTTTTTATTTTCATAATAATGTCATGTATTTATTGAGGTGTGGAATTTGGTTCATTTTAATGTGGATAATGGATTTTGAATTTATTGTGACTGCTAAGGTTTTTGTTTTTTTTTCTTGATTTGCATTAATGACGGACCACACTGGTGAGACTTTTATGAGAACGAATCAACAGGTTGATAGAGCCACCGAGATTACATGCAACCTCGCATTTGTGTCCTCTAATATTGCTACGCTTGGGTTTTGTAGGTGTACGGTCGAATTTTAATAGGGAATTTTTTTTTATCTATTACTCTTCTCTTAGATTTATTGTGAAAAACTTAAAATATCTTAAGAATTTATAAATGCACATGAGAATGTATTATTAACGTGATTTTGTAGATTTATTTTGCATGTGTATCTACGAAGTTATCTCTAGACAAATCAATGAACATTACTCAACATAATTCATAATATTTATTCAACTTAATTCAAAGAAATTACATAATTAATTATACAGAAAATTAAAATTACATATTATTATTAACTGAAAGTTGAGGACGTTGCAACATCTTGATAACATTTATTGTCGACCTTTGCAGTCTCGCATACATCTCAATCGGATCCTTGAAAGAGTATTGTTGAAAGGTACCCCACATGACCTCTAAGTCGTCATCGTTCTTGAGATCAAACGGTGTGAGCTTTATGTTTCATTCAGTGTCAAGTGAAAGTGAACGATACCCAAGTTTGACCACCTTTCGATTCTCTGGATACTGCAAGAGAGAATGTAGTATCGTAATGAACTCGGCGAACGGCGTGTCCTGCAAGAACCTGAATTGAAGTGGCGATTGCACACCACTGAAGTAGACAAAAGCAATGTGTGGATATGTGCTGGATGCGGTAAAGCGGCAAGTAAAAAGTAAGTTATTAATTTATCGGGTGATATAGGTTATATCGTATCGTGTCCACAGAGATTGATGAATTGAAATGTCCTTCGACAAATCTCTCGTTAATGAGTTTGAGGTTAAATGGATTGAAAGGAAAATGTTATCAACAGAAAATAAATGTATAAAAAGGAAAAAGGAGCAACTTATCAAGCATGCATATATACTACTTCTCACAGACTTGAACCTATCGATATGTTATACTAAACCTACAATATTCATCAATGTCATCACGTGTCAAACACAACACCCACTATATCACTTCGGCGACGATCTCTCAACCAACCTTAACAACACAAAAGTCAATTGTGCTCGCTTGCATCGACGATTTCTCAGAGCGACACAAACAACACAGAGGTGTTAATCACATACACCCTAAGTGAATAACAATGTTAAATCTATCTCTAGAATTCAGACACTATTAGATAATCATCCTAGATAAGAATTCAAACTGTATATTTCTATAGCAACTCAAATCTCTAACACAGAGTAAAAATCAAGGATAACAATCGACAAAGATTTATAAAGCAAGTTTTATGTAACGCCAAGGCGACAAATATACATAAGATCAAAGTAAATACATGTACAAACCCAACCAATAGAGAATACACAAAGAAAAAGAGAATAGAGAATATACAAATCCACCCCGGATCATTCGTATGCAAGCTCTATAGTTGTTATCTAAGTTAATCCTAACAAAATTGGAGGTTGATGGAGTTGGGAGCAAAAACTTCCCCAAAACCATAACCTAACAAATGAATGAAATGAAGTTATAAAAAAAATCTCAGCAAACCGCACTAAGGGGGTCTGGTGCGTTAAGCACGACTTCTTTATTTTACACATCAAACCGCCCTAAATCGCGCTAAGCGCGATATCCACGCTAAGCGGGCTTCAAAACAATACTTCTACCAAAATGTCAAAACGCAAGTAGCACGCTATAAAATGCGTTGAGTACACTCGCGCTTAGCGGTCTTCTGCGCGCTAAGCGAAATCTCCTGAACAAAACTGGTCTTTTATTCCGAAAACGCACATCTGGAGTCGTACCTTCAATGTAACGCCCGTAATTTAATTAATTATTTAATTAAATTATTTTTGGAATATTTGTGAATATGTGCTATAATTAAATTGGATTTATTTTATTAAGTGGAGAAATAATAATATTAGAGGTATAATATTATTATGTGGTGAAATAATGTTAGAAGCTAATATTATTTAATGTGGGTCTATATGGTGTGAGTGGAAGTAATAAGGGGGTGTAGATTTTGAGCCCAATAAGGAATAATATAATAATAGTAGGTTATTTTATTATTTGTGAGAAGAATAGAAGGAGGAAGCAGTAAGAAGAGAAAATAAGGATTTGAGAAGAACGTGAAGCTGCTAGAAAAGTGGAAAACGGCAAGAACGAAGATTCAACCCGGAAATTGTAGAGCGACCTTCAATCCAAGATAAGGGTGGGGTTCTGACTTTATAATTGGGTTCATGATGTTTAATATATGGGGTTAGAGGTAATTGTTGTTTGTTCTTGAATTGGATGTATTATGAATGATGTATGATGAAGATTTGATGAATTCTTGATGAATAATGATGCCATGTTATTGTTTAATTGATGTAATATTAGAGGATAATGATAGGTGATGATTTATCATGATGATAATGAAGTTTTTAGGGCTGTAGTATGATTCTCGTAGCAAAATACAGAAGAAAACGCAGAAAATTTATGCAGACCGTCGAAGGATGTGTCGACCCCAAGCTGGATGTGTCGATACATGTTAGTTGTTCGACTCAGGATGAGTCGATGCATGCATGGCATGTGTCGATACATGAAGGATGTTCGACTCAGGATGAGTCGATGTATGGAGGGTTTGCGTCGATGCATGTTAAGTATAAGGCTCAGGATGAGTCGACACGAAGAGAGGATGTGTTGATACATGAGTGTGTGAGACTCAGGATGAGTCGACCGGTGAAGTGCATGTGTCGATACATGTTGTGTCGAAAGCCAGAATGAGTCAATCCAAAGGAGGATGTGTCGACTCATAGTATGCAGATGAAGCAGGATGTGTTGACTCATAGTATGCAGATGAAGCAGGATGAGTCGATCTAAGGAGTTTTGTGTTGACCCATACTGAATAATTTTGACAGAATCAGTTTTGAATTGCTGTAACTTGAGTTGTAGGATGATGTTTGAGATGTCGTTCGAAGCGTTGATTAGCTAACGTGATGAACTTTATTCTAGATGATTTAAATGATGAGTAAGAGGTGTAATTCCAGTAAGCAATTTAGGATTTAGAATTAATTCCCGTAGATGACCATTATGCTGGATTTTGGACAGAATGATGAACTTGAGATGTTTAGAGGTTGTTGTTAGGAATTATGACAGTAGGATTAGTGACAGCAACGATATAAAATAGCAGAATATCATGATGGATTACTGTATTATTAATATACAGCTGAGTATTAGTGAGATGTTATTAATAAAGTGGTGTTTGATAATTTATGATGAATAAATGACGTTTGATAAATAAATGATGTTTAATAAATTATTTTGAGATGTTTATGAGATGCTGTAATTGAGATGTTTTCGAGATGATTGAGATGTTGTTGTTTGAGATGATTGAGATGTTGTTGTTTTGAGATGATTGAGATGTTGTTTTTTTGAGATGTTGTTAACTGAGTGTGTTATTACATTCATGTTGAGTCGCATACATTACATTTTGAGATGGAGCTTATGCTCGTTGAGATGGCCTGGATTGACAAATTTTGAGATGAAGGTTATGCCTTGTTGATGCCTCTATTAATTGGCAGATTAGATTTTTGAGATGGGAGTTCTGCTCCAATGGTACCACATGCATTTGCATAGTTTTGAGTCGCATTTTATGATTGAATAATGAAGTGTATTTGATGTTGATGAATGAGTATATATGTTGTAATTATTGTTGATTATGAGATGAGAAGTGGTGATATTGGTGATCTAATTTAACATATTAATTATCATGCGCTTTATTATATTGTTAGATATCTCACCCCTTCTGTTTGAATGTTGCCCCTATGTTGGTAATGTGCAGGTAATCGCGAGTGAAGTCTGTATACCTTCAATAGTTTGAGTCGGTGTCATTGCTCTGATATGTAACACTCGGGGGGATGAACGCTTGCTGATTTTTGATTGTTGATTTTCAGTTGTTGAGTTTTGAAATGATTATTATTAATATGAAATGTTTCGAAGTTGTTGTTTTATTTAGAGATGTTATTGAAGAATTCCGCTGTGTGGTTGTTGAATTATTTTATTAAAGATGTTATAACGATGGTTCATCCGATGTTTTAAAAGTGTTATATATCCATGATGAATGCAATGAATTTGTTAGAAGAATTTGTGACATCCCGATTCGTTTGTATGAATGAAATTTTATAACTCTGATTTATTTTGCATAATTTGCTTGGGGTAGAATTGGGGTGTTACAAAGTTGGTATCAGAGCAAAAGGTTGGTCCGACCTTGTCGTTGAGTCTTAGTTGTCTAACAATCGAGTATTGTTATTTTGATGTTCTAATTGTTGTTTATGTTGTAAGACCAAGTGTATCACCGTGGGAAGCTCCAATGTTATTAGTGAAGAAGAAAGATGGAAGTATGAGGCTTTGTGTTGATTATAGACAGTTGAACAAGGTGACGATTAAGAATAAGTATCTGCTTCCAAGAATAGATGACTTGATGGATCAATTAGTGGATGCTCATGTGTTTAGTAAGATTGATTTGAGGTCGGGTTATCATCAGATTAAAGTAAAGGATGAAGATATTCAGAAGACGGCTTTCAGAACGCGTTATGGACATTACGAGTATTCGGTGATGCCTTTCGGTGTTACTAATGCACCGGGAGTATTCATGGAATATATGAATCATATCTTTCATACTTATTTGG